GAGCGTGCACGTCGGACAGACACCATGGGACCCGAGGAGTCTGCGCTGGATCAGAGACCGGTACCCAGCGCTGGAGGGATTGCTGAATACAAGTGGAAGGAAGAAGATGATCTGATCAAGAGACATCATTTAAGGTCCTTAAAGGAGAACTATGAGGTGAGTGATTTTCACTCACCTCATAGTTCTAGCAGACCTGTGACAATGAGACTGTCGCAGGTCGGCTCAGTAGATCGGGAGGTGAACGAACACATACCGGGTTCGCTCACCTCTCGATCCTGTCACGGCTCTCTGCCGTGACAGGGGGAGGGGCTGGATTCCCCTCTCCGATCTGCCAGCGCTGACTGGCGGAACGGGAGGGGGCGGCTACAGTTGGCTCTGCCTCTAGATAGGCAGAGCCAGCTGTCACTCACGCAGCTGGGCGGATCCCGTCATCTACGTCGGGATCCGCTGCGGCGTCTCAGTATACCGCGAGCTGTAGCTCGCGGTATACTGAGCTTAGGGTGACGGGAGGACGCTAGTTTGTGTCCTCCCGTTACCCTAAGGAAAACTATGGGGAAAAGCCTTAACCCCATAGTTCTCCTTTTAAAGTGACATTAAAGTCAAAAAATGTTTTCCCTCCCCCCAATTTTCATGTTAGCACTTACCTTAAATGATGTCTCTTAATCTGATCTTCTTTCCTGATGTTTTCATCTGTCCCTCCAGCGGTGCGGCGGCTCTCCGATCCAGCGCTGACTCCTCTGTCCTTGCAGGCACTTCCGATCCCGCGGTGTCTGCATGCGTGTGCACGCGTCCAAAGACTTACCTTGCGTCTCTGCTCCCGGCCGAAAATCCGAACTGCGCATGCGCCTGGCCCAAGATGCTTTGCAGGCGCCCGAGCAGTTTCGGATTCTCGAACAGGAGCGCGGCAAAGTTTAAACTGCTGTTAAAGTGGTTTAGAAAACAAAAACAAACTTTTTGCATATATCTACTGCTTGATAGCTGTAGATATACAAAAAAAACAAACAGAGGGCTTAGAAACCCTTTAAAGCAGCATAGGGGAGGAACATATTTGTGACTTTAGTGTCACTTTAAAGGATATGCTGAGACTTGTAGTCTTCGATTTTGTGTGGAAGCAGGCTAACCTTATTTTCCATGTCAATAAAAGGTAGACATTCAGAAATGCAGCGTGCGCTCTAAGAGACAACTGCTTTATCTGTCCCGTTAGAGACGCACCCTGCTGGTCCATTTTCATTCTACATGCAGTCTCTCTGTGGCAGCTGCATACTGCCTCATAAATCAACAGGAACACTTGTACAGTGGAAATCAATCACAGGATGTTGTCTGGTGGCATGTTTATGGGGCTGCATGTGGCATTTCTGACAGGAGATAACCGGCTTCAGTAATATGCAGTCTTCTATTTTGGGCAATGCAAACATTTGTTACTTTGGTGAAATTGATGTAATATTTTAAAATGTTCTATTTTCTAAGGAAAGTATGTCATGTAAATGGATTGCAGCTACCAAAATATGCGCAAAGCCATTCATGCTTTCTCTTGAAAACATTTTGAAAGGACATTGTTTTAGTGAATGATTATAACGTGTTAGGAAGTTCTGTTTGGTACCGATTTAGTGATTCTGTATATACAGGGCTTGAAAAATTTCATAGTGTTTTAGTGTTATCAGTGATTAAAGGAGAACTATGGGGTTAGGGCTTTTCCCCATAGTTCTAGTATACCCCCTTATGGTCCGGAGCAAGTTTTAAATTTCTGCTATGGGCCTGTTTATTGGGAAATAACGTTCTCATTACCTACGATAACACCGTAATACATATATCATCTTTAGGATAAATAAGGCTTTCTTTCATTGCTATTGTCTTCCAAAAATGATTTCATGCAATTCATAGACCAAAAAAAGTAGCCGAACTGAAAATTACACACATTTAACTACTTTTGATTAGTGTTCGCCTAACAAATGAGTGTTCCTGTTGGTATTAAGTAAAATTGCTAAGGGAGGCTGATTAGGATAAACAAAGGGTTAATCAATCGTAACAAATATTTAAGTTTTTTTTTTTTAAACTTTAAAGTGATATTAAAGCCTCCTTTTTTTTTCCCCCCCATAAATGTGTCCTACAAGGAGACCCACCTTTGCTGGTGGCTGTTTTTTTTTTAAAAGTTAATTCCTCATTTTCTAGTGGGATTTTTTTGTTCAGCCCACGGTTTGAAAGAAAAAAAATTGATAGGTGTCCGGCCAGCCTTACTGTGTATCTCTAAATTGCTTATAAACACTCAGGGATAGATTATAAATGACAAAACACAGGGGCATTTTCAATATTGCAGTGTGCGAACAATGAGGTGTGAGTATCTTGTCTGCCATGGATATGCTGCACCTTAGTTACAAAGATTCTGTGAATTTTTTTTTTTTTTTTTTATTTTGCCTGCACTTTAACCACTTCAAGTCTGCGGTGTTAAACCCCCTTCCCATCCAGGCCATTTTTCAGTGTTCAGCGCTGCAGTACTGTGATTGAATTTGTTTCCGCCATGCAACGCTGCACTGAAATACATTTTATACCAAATTTTTGGGACAGACAGAGGTTTCTTTTTGTGGTATTAATCACCACTGGGGATTTTATTTTTTACTATATTAAGGGAAAAGTACCGAATTTAAAAAAACAAAAACAAAGCGGTTTCCCCTATATTAAATTATAAAACATTTTATTGCCCAATTTTTTTGGTAAAATATAAAAGACGGGGTCACGTCGGGTAAAAAGACACCAAACATGTCAAGCCTTAAAATTGTGCGCGCGAAACCTCAAGAGCCTACAATACCAAAAATTGGCCATAGGCGACGCTTTAAAAGCTTTTACCACTAATCAGTTTAGCGTTATCGGTGATTGATGGCCCTGAAATGATTGCTCTCACTCCGACGTTCGCTACAATATGTAACGTGTAGCACAATTTTCATTTTCGCATTGCTGGCGCCACGAATGCGTATTTACGTTTATATGTGCGTAAATGTGGGGGTGGGGGACTTAAAAATGTGGGGTTTTAAAAAAAAAACTTTTTCTATGGGACTTTTATTTTTGTAACTTTTTTATGTTTTTTTACACTTATTGTTATTGCTATTACATAGGGGGATAACAATCCCCCTATATAATAGCAAAGGCACACTGACTGGTCCTCTTTATGGAGACATTAGGGATCTCTAAGACACCTGATGTCACCTGGGGACCCCAAAAGAAGCTGATGAAGTACAGATCAGCTTCTTCTCTCTGGCTATAGCAGCCAGATGACTGACAGGTGAATGCGGAAGTGATGTAATACACATTACTTCTGCATTCACAGCACGGAGGGAGATCAGCAAGGAGGAAGATGCTGACCTCCCTCCCTGAACAAAGCCAGGTATGTTTGAGTGCCTGGGTGGCAACTGTGGCCCCCACCATAGATACATTGGAGGAGTAAGCATTAGTCACCCAGGTACAGGAAGTGCTATTCTTTGGATTACCAGGTGAAAATAAAGAGGGGGTGGAAGAACTATACTAATGTGCCTCCACATCAGCTGACAAGCTGCAGTATATTAAATCTCTGTATTTTTTTTTTTTGCAAGTAAACTTTTTATAGCATTTATGACAAAGGATTCCTAGAGCACTATGTTTTCTAAAGAGGTCTGAATAGAATTTGTCACTTTTGAGGAAACTTTAAGCGCAAAAAAGTAGCAAAAATGTGTCAAGAATGCATGTACATATGTTTTTCATGCACTCCCATTAAAGAAGCACCATCTCCTTTTCAAAAATCACACCATGTTGCATTGATGTCAACAGGCACCATTAAGAATAATGTGAATTTCACTGTCCTGCAGTGTCGCCCAATGGCAGACACAGGACACATCACGCTAGTGTGAAGGGGCGCCTTTCAGTGGCTTTAACCTCTTTCCTGGTCTATCCTGGTTATTTTGTTTTAGTTGGGCTTTAAAAGTTGGGTTGTGTAATAGCTCGGGCTGCAACTAATAATTATTTTCATAATCGATTAGTTGACCAATTATTTTTTCGATAATTCGGATAAAGAAAATGTAATAAACACCATCCTTAATTCTAAAATTAAATGCACAAGTGGATTGTTACAAAGTTTACTTCAGAATAAAACTGCATGCACAATTTTTTGCAATCACACTGCATTGGAACGCTCGACATTGCAGTACCGTGCGTTACAGGGCGGGCGATCACACTTTGGATGGGAGGCGCGTTTGGGGTGCCATTGAAATGTATGGCACTGCAGCTCCCCTCCTGCAGCAGAATTTGTCAGGCCGAAGTGGAAAATAATTACATTTTTAATTGTTTTGTAAGCAGATGGCGCTTGTAAAGTTTCAGCCAGTGGCAAGATTCCGCAGATGGCAACTGAAGGTAAATATAGCAGGTAGTGGGCGGGTGCAATAGCCAGCCTGCTATTGGCCATTTCAAATTGCAATAGCAACCTGGCTATTGCATCTGCCCACTGCTTGCTGTGCGCTCCTCCCAGCGTGGAGGAGAGAGCTAGGGGATCCAACTAATCGATGAGAATAGCTGACAACTATTCTCATTATCGATTAATCGATTAGTTGGTTGCAGCCCCAGTAATAGCTTTATCTTTGCCTCCTCCACCACAGATAGCTTCCACCTCTGCCTCCTTCTCCATTCCCAGCCATGGTCATTCCTCAACCTTTAGCTATGTTAACTCTCTATCTATATCACTCGGCTAAGATCAGGGACAAGCGCCTCTTCTGATCTGCAGGTAATCGTTCCATGTACGATTACTTGTGGACAGGTATAGCATCTGTGAGGACACATGTGGAACTCCTTCCTCAAGAGTCTGTAGATTCTTGTTAAAGAAATTCCCAGCCACAGCTTTAAATGCCGTGTGCATGAGGCCTTAGTCTACCCATCTTGCCTATCCAAGCATAGTCACAGAAGAATATTATCGCTGTAGAATGGATGAAAACATGCAGGATTCTTTGAATAATGTGATTTTTCTTCTCTTTGCTTCTTTGTAGTATCTGACACTGACAACAGTGATGACTTACAGCTCCGAAAAGAACATGCGCTTAAGATATTTGCTTATATTAATTCCTGGACACAAAGGTACGTATTCTCATATATCATTCATTCCGTTTTCCTTTTTTAAATTATTTATTTTTTGAATTTTCCACTTGCACCAAAATAGGGGACCCCAATACCTTATCAGGCTTGGTATGTAATGTAAGAAAGGAAGATTTTTAAGATCAAGCCGGTATTTTTGAGTAAGATGTTTAGAAGGTCCCTTTTCATCTACATTGGCTGGAAAATGAACAATAACATTGTTCAATGCAAAGTCATGTATCCCAGTTTCTATTCGTGTAGATGTTCTGTTCATGATCAACTTGAGTATGTACTGATTCATATTCTTGCTAGCTTTTAACTTGTATTTGGTTCTGTAGCTGCTCTTCACTATTGTGCAGCTTGGAGTACCCAGGGTCATCATGATGTATTTGTGTCACAGGCATATAGTGATGGGGTGCAATATAACATGTTGTCCACATTTTTTTTGCTTTAGATTTATGTTGAATTGTCTCTTCTTTTCTTCCTCCAGACAGTGTCTATGCTGCTTTAAGGAGTATAAACATTTGGAGATCTTTAACCAAGTGGTGTGTGCCCTTATCAATTTGGTGATTGGCCAAGTCCAAACCCTAAGGGACCAGCTTTTAAAATTTTGCACTACTAGCCCTGATTCAAACTGGCAGGATGAGGCCAACCCATCCGATGAGCTGCTGAATGCGGAGAAAGAGACTCAGGAGGAGGAGGAGGAAGAAGGGGAAGAGAGGCGCCCAGAACCATGTAAAGCCCCTGACAAACCGTTAGAAAGTGGAAGAACTTGCAATGTAACGGAGGAGGACTCTCTAAAAAGCACTGACCTGTATAGTTTATGGAGTACTGAAGAAAAAGAAAAACTGTTGTTGTGTGTTGCAAAAATCTTTCAGATACAATTTCCTCTTTACACGGCCTACAAGCATAACACCCATCCCACGATAGAGGTATTTCCAATTTATTATTTGTTTCCAGTTGCTTGTATTTAAAAGAGAGAATGGTCCACATTTAAAGACTGTTGCTGACACATTGACTTCCCTGGTACTTGCCTTGTATATCTATTGACTAATCCCGGAAGGTGTTAATGTCCCTAGGGGCGACTCTGAGAAAGTCACAGTCACACCTTACCCTGTCGCCATACAAGAAAAGTCAGCTCTGCTTACTTTCTAAGCTCACCTAATGAGTTACTAAAGATGTGACTAAACCTTTGTCTGTCAAATGATAAAAGATGTCAAACTTGCATCTGATCCATGGCTGGTTTGATAGATATGTTCTTTGGTTGCTTGCTGCATGTAATGATCATTTTAAAGCATATCTCTGGTCAAGAGATGCACTTTAGTTTTGGATAAAATATGGAATAATTAGTACTCCAGTAAGGTTTACATTGTTTATATTGTGGTCTGTTAGGGATGTGCATGTGTTTGGAGCAAGCAGAGTTCGCCCAAGCAAAACTCTCCATGATGCCCATTCCTCTCAGCTGATTGTGCCAGGATGGGTGTGTGTCGCTGACTGTTTTGCTAGGGCTTGGGTGAACGCCGTGCGCATCAAGCCCACACCCATCCCTACCATCTATGTCCACACAGTGTAGCTATACCTTCTTTTTCTCCTGGGGGCAGTTTTTAATGGACGGTAAGTGGAGGAGATTTTCCCTTACTTTGAAGAGATTTCCTCTCACTACTCAGGGACAGGAAATGAATGAAAATCTCCCCAGGAGGACACGGACAACAACAAAAAAAGTTTTTGTTATTCCAAAGTTTATATTCTTCAAAACTAGTAGTAGTATACAGGATTTATATAGCGCCAACAGTTTGTGCAGCGCTTTACTATATAGGGAAGACATTACAATACAGTTCGTGACAAGATAGTAATGAGGGCCCTGCCCCTGAGGGATTACAACTAAAGAACAAAATAAAAAGTTTTAGATAACGATACACTTTTATGAGAACTGCAAAAAGGGGTCTATTTATACTTTGTTTTTGTTTTTTTAAGTTTTACACAACTATCACCCAACATTCACACATTTTTTTTCCAATGGTATCCAGTTAGAAACTCCAATGTGAATCTTGGGTGAAGACATTTTATGAATAGACCCCTAGTATCTACAAGACAGCAGCGTATATCCACAATGCAGTTTCAGAGCAACAACTAGCCTTGTGTAAACTTTGAGTGGCCAAATACATGGCAGTTCTATATAAATTGTAACCAACTTTTGATAATGAAAACCCATTAAAATGGATCAAGGCAACCCAACATCATCCGCAATAATAGTTTTGCCATTTGATCTTTTTTTTTTGTATATGTCCAGCATTATTGTGGGCTTCATTGCCGGACATATGTAAGAGTTACAGTTTTTACGGTCTGTGTGTTGCCACTCCTTTTTAAGAATGCTGTTTGTGTGGCTCCCATGATGCATTAGGAGTGTCTTCTGCTTTAGTGTAAGTAAGATGTTCTGTCAGCAGGATTTGGTAAGTGGGGTTGGGCACTTTTTTTCAAGCTCAGGGCTGCATATCTGTCTTGCTTCGGTTTGTAAGGAAATTGGTCAAAAAGTTTGATTGGTAATGTTAAATGATTTGAACAGTATCTCATATTAAAACATTATCCTGCTTTTTCTGGAATAGTTCTTGAAGGGTTCGTGTACACAGGTTTTTTTGGGTGTCATACCACATACAAGCCAGTGTAAGAGCATACTGGGGGGAATTTATCAAAACTGGAGCAGACCAAATCTGGAGCAGCTGTGCGTGGCAACCAATCAGCTTCTTTCTTCAGTATGTTCAGTTAAAATTTGAAAATGAGAGCGAGAAGCTGATTGGTTACCACGCACAGCTGCTCCTCCTAAGATACAAACAGATTTGTTTCACTGCAAATAAAACGTTAGGACAGTTTTTGAACAGTAATATGGGGCACTTCACAAAAAGCTCCGAGTTATGTGCAGCGTGTTGATTTTTATCTCTTATCTTTAAAAAGTTGTGAGTTGTGTTTTTTTTAATCTTTAAATTATGAAATAAAATGTCTCCTAAACATGTCACTAGGGGCTGTAGTTATGTTCATGCTAACCCCACTATGTATGAACATGTTTTTCATATTTGCTTTTCAATTCTTTTTCTTGCTCTCCCAGGATATTTCGGCTCAAGAAAGCAATCTTTTAGGAGCCTTTTGTGACATGAATGTAAGTAAGAAAAGCTGAAGACCTGTATGGATGTATGAAGTCTGTGTTCAAAGTTATTTTCGGTACCACAGATTTGATTTGAAAAGAAGCGGTCACCCATATTAGGGTCCTATTTTTAGAGTAGTAACCAAAATTATGTGAAGGAAGAGGTTAGGTTGTGGAGAGTTAGGAGAGGCTCAACAGTTTATTCAGAATCTAATCAGTATGAGTGACACCAAGCTGTTCATGAGCAAATACAATAAATGGGGTTTTGTGGTATGGGAGTTTTCTTTACCACCCATTGAGGGACACAGGAATGTTGTCATTCTTAGACATTTGGATAATGGGCTACCACCAGAAGGTTTGGACACTAGCCAACAGAAAAACGGTTTAAGGCCAGCCCCCATATAATCCTGCCCATAGCTGGTATGCCTCTGGTCTTAAGTAGAATTGGCATTTTCAACCTTTCTCAGGAGCTCTCTGGACTAAAAGATGCAGGGCTTGCCTGGAATGTGACCTTTGGGCAATGGGCTATGCATTGTGGTGCTTTCCAGACTTTCGTGTACTGTTAGTTAGCCACAGAGTACTTTCTGGGTCAAGAACTCCGTGGCACAGCCTCCGGGTGTGACCCTTTCTCTGAAGACTCGCCTAGTGAATAAGCCCTGTTAGACCTTGAGAGCTTCTTCACACTGGGTACAGATGGATGCCATTTTTAAAATGTCCTGCCATCTTAATCAAAGTAAGGCTTAAGGCTAAGGGATTGAGCTCTGACCATTCCGCTACTGCTCCTGCTTAAGTGGAGCATTGGTTCAGTTCCATTATCCGCTTACAGTGACTTGGTCACCACCAGCTGCCTAAAAGCCTCATCCGCACTGCTGCCCGGGTTTGGGAGTACGTGAGGTCTTGTCTCACATTGAGCCAAGTTGCTGAACATCATGCGGTGCAACATGTCTTCTCAAAGATATACTGCGGTCAGTTCTAATTATGGTTCTGGGGGCATTTTTTGCTGTTATCCTTTAACACAGAAGTTACATTCAGAAACGAGCTTTGCTCAGCATGTAAAAACCAGGACATTTTATTACAGAATATCAAATTATCATCCGCACAAATGATTGAACGTTTGTGTGGGGTGTGAAGACAGCTGCTTGCCTCTGCATGACCACTATTCTGCATTGATCACATAGACATAACACATCTATTTGCAAATGAATTCTACATTTTCTGTTTTCTCCTTTTCTGTTGTGCTTTCAGGATGTTGAAGTCCCCTTGCACCTACTCCGTTACGTGTGTCTGTTCTGTGGGAAAAATGGCCTTTCTCTTATGAAGGATTGCTTTGAGTATGGGACCCCCGAGACGCTTCCCTTTCTGATAGCTCATGCATTCATCACTGTTGTGTCCAATGTAAGTTAGCATCCTAACCTGTTTAACACATTTGTATTCAATAATAGTGAGTTCTATGACGGATAATGTTTTGCTGAGTAGTTACTCATACGCAAGTACTAAACATTTGTATTGTATTAAAGCAAACCTGTGGATAAAAGGAAATACCATTTTAATAGCAACGGGTATCTGAAAGCTTAACCTATCAGCAGGCTTGCCTGTGCTTATGCCTAGAATGTTCAGTTGCTATCTGTATAGATGATTTGAGATAGCACTGGACTTTGAGCATTTGTGCATTTGATTGAACATGGGTTATTCACTAAATTTAGCTGAACGTTCAGCTAATCCTTCGGCTCGCTTCGGTTGCAGAAACCCTTTGGTTCAGCCCATTGTTCAATTTAAAGGACTTTTTAAAAGTGTGTTTTTTATTTACTTTACTATGTGATGAATGAGTAGGGGTAACAACTACCCCTTACTCATCCACAAGGGGGGCGTCACCCAGATGTAGATGACCCCCCTTGCCTGCAGACCCCCACAGCCCCAAATCCCCCCCGGAAAAGCAACCTCTCAATGTTGAGGGCATGTGTCCTGGTCCTAGTATGGTGCGGTGGGGGGCGCACGCTCGTGTCAACCCACCCCCTCCTTCCTTTCCTATTCTGCAATCGCCTGCTTGGATTAGGGGCATGATGTGGAATTTAATGGGGGACCCCATTTTTTTTTTGGGGGGGGGCGGCATTGGGGTTCCCCTGACTTTGTAGTGGAACACCCCTCCCCTCCAATAATCTTACCAGACCTAAAATACCACGCTGGTTTTTGTTTTATTGACCGTTTTCATTATGCTTCGCTAATTCTAAGGTAGTGAAGCAGAATGACTGGGCTGAATGCTGAGCCAATCATTGGGCAATTCACTCTCTGCTGTTCCGGCCCCTTGGAGAATAGGTGTGAATAGGTGTGAATAGCAGGGAATGAACTGCCGAATGCTCGCCTCAGCCGCTCCACATGTTGCATCGGCTGAGGCTGTTCGGCCGTGCCGAAGGGAGGTGAAGGGAGCCGAATGCAGCCGATGTACGACTAAGAATAGCTGTACACGGCTGCAGTGAATAGCTGAACATGCTTCGGCCCACTTCCTTTGGCTCAGTTATTCATTTGGCAGCCATCGGGGGCTTTGTAAATAACCCCCTAAATTTTAGCTTTTATCATAAATGCAAACTGAGTGTCTTGGTTTTGAAGCATGTAATACATCAATGTAACTGGTTATGTAGACTTGGGGGGGGGGTGAATGCCACGTGCAAGACATATTAGTCATATGCATGTTCATAAATAGGGCAACTACTTGTTAATAATTGTATTTTTTGTTCCTTTTATAGATCAGAATATGGTTACACATCCCTGCTGTTATGCAGCATATTATACCATTTAGGACCTATGTTATAAGGTAAAATTATACGGTAACAGTATCCCATGTATTATTTTCAAAAGTAGCACTGTATTGTTAACATAGTGGCTGGCTAACATTTTCAGTCTCGTTGTAATATTAAACATTTAACATATTAAATATTTGCTTTTGACACTGTGGCATCAAACCTGTTCAAATCCGTATGCAGGGCTAAAGCATACACCAAAGAAATGTAACCTAGCACTTCATGTCGGTTCATGTGCCAAACTGACTGCGCTTGACTTTGGATGGACTTGGGAGGGGTTAAGAGTAAAAAATAATCTCCCAAACAGAGTCCCAGACAGCAATAAAATCATCTACTCTTTTTAAGCTGGCTGTGCTCCATTTTAGTTTTCAAAATGCTCGTTCTAATGGTTAGTGAGGTCTAGTCAGTGATCATTATAGACTGAAGGGATGAGGAAAATCAAAGGAGTAGTTTGGAAAATGTTTCATATTTTGCACATGTGCATTACATTTTGTAATGCACATGTGCAAGGCAAAGTTTCATCTGGAATTAGAACTTTTGTGCTCAGGAACATTAAAAAAAAATTTTTTAACCCAATTATGCAGGGTGTATTTATGTATGGTATCGGAATGTATAAGGGCTTGTTCACACGATGCTCCGGACCAGGATCTGGAGTAGATCTGCAGACGCGGTGCTATGCAGTTTTGATGCGTTTTTACCATGTTCCAGTAAAAAAAAAAAAAAAAGTGGAGTGGGGCTGTCAGTATGTTAGCTGCATTTTCGGCGTGTTTTCTTTGCGTTTTTGACGCATTCGTGCGTTTCCAGACCGGACAAAATGTAACCTGCAGTATTTTCTCTGACCGAAACGGACTGCACACGTGAGAACTGTAGCCGACAAAACACATAGGGATGCATTGGGATGCATTTTTCGTGCAGGAGCGCACGGATCTGGTCCGGACAGAATCCAGACGTTGTGTGAACAAGCCCTTAAAGAGCAATACAAACACAGGTTTCTAGAGGTGCACCGAAATGAAAAATTTTAAACCGAAATAAAAAAAAATTTCAGGCCGAAACTGAAACCGAAACCAATACCGAAAATGTTTTTTTTTTAATTTTTCAAATATTTAATTTATATTTATTTTTTATAAACGTTTACATTTTTTAAATATTTATTTCTATTAATTTTTTATTAAATATTTTTAATCTTTTACATTTACTTTTAGGGGCTACGGGGAAATATTAGGGATCTAAACAGACCCTTGATATTTCCCTTTTAAAATAGAAAAAGAGATTTAGGACACAAAGTCCTCTATCTCTTTTTCTGTGTCCCCTGTTATCAATGAACAGGAATCCTCCATACTGTGTGTTCCTGTTCATTTATAACATGTGGATATAGTATGTTTACTATAACTACAACTATGAATGAACAGGAGGTGAAGTAGATCACTCCCATTCATTCATAATTGGGGATATACTACACATACTCTGTCCTCATTATCTACAAACACTCAGCGATCACTGAGTGTTTGTAGCCTGCTCTCCTCTCTGTCACGCTGTCACAGGAGGCTGAGCGAGCGGAGCAGGGAGGAGAGCCCAGCCTCCTGTGACAGCGTGGCCTGTCTCCACCCACACACCGCTCTGCCGGACTGTGATAGTGACGCCGGCCGCTCCTGCAGCGCTCAGCAGGCTGTCACACGTTCTCTCCTCCTCCACTCCACTGAGCAGCGCCCAGTGGGGAGGAAAGGAAGCAGGGATGTGCCGATGTATCGGCAGGAAAATAACACTTTCGGCATCATGCCAAAAGTGCCATTTTCGGTCGATATGTTTCGGCAACCGCTATATCGGTGCATCCCTACAGGTTTCTCTATAATATATATGTAAAATTGGATTTTAATAAATGTAGTATGTCCACTGCAACCTCATGGTCTGATGAACCTATAATACAGTAAACTCCCCATTATCCGGCATTCAAGCAACCGGCAAAAATAATTACGGACGTATGTCCTCGGTGGTTGTGTTTTTTTTTGTGTTTTTGTATCGGTCGCTTAAAGCACATGAAAAAATTGTTGATTGCTTGGTGCACACAAATTTTTTTTGTTAGCAACTAAATTTGCCGCCGCTAGATTCCTTTGTGCAATAGCCAGCCTGATATTGGCTCTTTCAAATTTAAATGGCCAATAGCAGGCTGGCTATTGCTTCCAGCTGTTTACATTTACCTGCCAGCTGTGGAAGCTGTGCGGTGGGGGGTGGTTGCTTGAGAGTTACCATTAACTCTCAAGCAACCAGAAACTACAGTTATCCAGCACCTGCCGATCCCTGTGGGTGCCAGATAACTGGAAGTTTGAAGTATTTATTTCTAAATATGCAATATAATTGTAAATGTAAATAAACTTTGCTTATCATTATTTTTTGTTGATTTCATAAGTAGAAAGCAGGTCTGGATGACATTTTGAAGGGCTTTCGAATGAAATGATGTGACTGAATGATGACAATATTGAATGCTCTAAAGAACGATTTTTCAGAACTTTGACTGAAAGTTGGAATGATCTAACAGCGTATGGCCAGCGTTAGTAGCGTGAGCAAGGTTTAGAACCCCGTCAAAGTTTTTGTCTGCTATTGCTTGCAGCACCTCTCCATTTGTAAAACAAAATATGATGACTGATGCATCGGACTATTAATCCCCACTGGTTGAGTGCTTTTCCTCTAGATTGATGAGGCCATTTTCTCTTTTTGTTCCAGGTATTTGTGTAAACTGTCTGACCAGGAGCTGCGGCAGAGTGCGGCTAGGAACATGGCGGACCTTATGTGGAGTACTGTGAAAGAGCCTCTGGACACAGCTTTGTGCTTTGATAAAGAGAGCCTTGACTTGGCTTTCAAATATTTTATGTCACCCACACTAACAATGAGGCTTGCTGGCTTGAGTCAGATAACGGTAGGTGTTTGCCATATCTCTATGGTAACTTCTCTTAGTAAAAACAGATCTGGTGTTATTTTTAAAGAAGAACTATGAGGCGAATGCTTTTCACTCACCTCATAGTTCTAGCCGACCTGTGACAATGAGACTGTCACAGGTCGGCTCAGTAGATCGGGAGGTGAGCGAACACATACCGGGTTCGCTCACCTCTCGATCCTGTCACAGCTCTCTGCCGTGACAGGGGAGGGACTGGATTCCACGCTCCGATCCAGCGCTGACTGGCGGCACGGACGGGGAGGGGGCGGTTACAGCTGGCTCTGCCTCTAGATAGGCAGAGCCAACTGTCACTCACGCAGCTGGGCAGATCCAGACATAATTGTCGGGATCCGCTTCAGCTGCGGTGTCTCAGTATACCACGAGCTGTAGCTCGCGGTATACTGAGCTTAGGGTGACGGAGGGACCCTAGTTTGTGTCCTCCCGTTACCCTAAGGAGAACTATGGGGAAAAGCCCTAACCCCATAGTTCTTTAATTGACAGGTTTGAAAAAATCACTCGTAAAACACCTTTTAACGTTTAGTTAGGGAGCCAATGTACTTCATGTTCTAATAAGCTATTTTCCCCCCTAATTTATAAATATTGCTGCGCCAGGGAGAGGCTGAGGAGCCTCTCGCCTAGAAAAATGGAAGGCACGCGGCAACCCACTGAAAACGGGGTCGCGACCTGCTTTTGGATCACGAGAACCAAGGCTCTAGACCAGGGGTAGACAACCTTGGCTCTCCAGCTGTGCTGAAACTACAAATCCCATAAAGCATTGCAAGCCACAGGCATGACTCCAAGAAGCATGATGGGATTTGTAGTTTCAGCACAGCTGGAGAGTTAAGGTTGCCTACCCCTGCTCTAGACCATAGCACCTATTCTGATATGTGATATACTGTAGATATTCTTTCTAACACTTCATGATCCATTTGTGTTTTAACATTTGCACATTTCCCTGTTTTCATGAGTTAATATACTTTGTAATCTTGCAAATAATTTCTCGTCCAGCCTTTTAGATGGTGTATTGTTTCATTTTATGTTCATTTTCTTTAATAGGGGTGTTCTACTATGAGGCGAATGCTTTTCACTCACCTCATAGTTCTAGCCGACCTGTGACAATGAGACTGTCACAGGTCGGCTCAGTAGATCGGGAGGTGAGCGAACACATACCGGGTTCGCTCACCTCTCGATCCTGTCACAGCTCTCTGCCGTGACAGGGGAGGGACTGGATTCCACGCTCCGATCCAGCGCTGACTGGCGGCACGGACGGGGAGGGGGCGGTTACAGCTGGCTCTGCCTCTAGATAGGCAGAGCCAACTGTCACTCACGCAGCTGGGCAGATCCAGACATAATTGTCGGGATCCGCTTCAGCTGCGGTGTCTCAGTATACCACGAGCTGTAGCTCGCGGTATACTGAGCTTAGGGTGACGGAGGGACCCTAGTTTGTGTCCTCCCGTTACCCTAAGGAGAACTATGGGGAAAAGCCCTAACCCCATAGTTCTTTAATTGACAGGTTTGAAAAAATCACTCGTAAAACACCTTTTAACGTTTAGTTAGGGAGCCAATGTACTTCATGTTCTAATAAGCTATTTTCCCCCCTAATTTATAAATATTGCTGCGCCAGGGAGAGGCTGAGGAGCCTCTCGCCTAGAAAAATGGAAGGCACGCGGCAACCCACTGAAAACGGGGTCGCGACCTGCTTTTGGATCACGAGAACCAAGGCTCTAGACCAGGGGTAGACAACCTTGGCTCTCCAGCTGTGCTGAAACTACAAATCCCATAAAGCATTGCAAGCCACAGGCATGACTCCAAGAAGCATGATGGGATTTGTAGTTTCAGCACAGCTGGAGAGTTAAGGTTGCCTACCCCTGCTCTAGACCATAGCACCTATTCTGATATGTGATATACTGTAGATATTCTTTCTAACACTTCATGATCCATTTGTGTTTTAACATTTGCACATTTCCCTGTTTTCATGAGTTAATATACTTTGTAATCTTGCAAATAATTTCTCGTCCAGCCTTTTAGATGGTGTATTGTTTCATTTTATGTTCATTTTCTTTAATAGGGGTGTTCTTTTTTTTTTTATTTTTTTATATAGAACCAACTTCATACTTTTAATGATGTCTGCAACAATGAGTCCTTGGTATCTGACACAGAGACGTAAGTGCATTCTTTTTTTTAAGCACTCTATATTTGGCTTGTGTTTGGGAAAAACTTCAAGGCTGTCTATGTATTTGTCCTAATAGTTACAGAAGGATTAAAGTTATGTCAGGTTATTGGCTCCAATAAAGTTTATTTAGCAGTTTTCACAGTACCATCTGCAGGACGAGCAATGTGTATAAAAATTGACGCAGTCACAGTAGTTGCCTTACTTCTCCGTCGACTTAAAGTACATAAACTTATCAGTGTATGTTAATGTTTTAAAAAACTTTGTATAGTTGGGAAATGTGTATGGTGGTGGCTATAATTCACGTATACAGTTGCTGGCTCTACTTGCAGTCTCTCTGAAAGTCTATTAGCCAGGGTTTGTCATCTCTAGTCAGATGATGCACTCACAATCTTTGTCACACTGGAGTTGTATTTTTTTTACTTTGTGAGGAAGTAGTTTTTTCTTTGTTATGAAAGGTTCTTCTTTACTTCAAGTGGACCTGTTGTGAGCAATATTTGCTAACCTCCCTCCTCTTCCCCCTTCTTTCACATTACCTCATATAGAAGGCATTAAATATTCACCAATCCCAGTGCCCATGCCGCTGATCACTAGAACTGGTCCCCTGAAGTCTGCTGGGAAACTTGACACTTCTGGGAGTGTTGATCTCCTGAAATCCTTGCGGCTTAGCTTTCACTGGTTTCTCCCTGTAACCTTATGTTAAACATCTCTCCAACAGCGGACTTGTGGGGACCAGTTCTAGTGATCAGAGCTGTGTGTTGCACCACTGGCAACTGGGAAAGCTAAGTATTTACTGGCTTCTTATACAGGTAACTGTTTTAGCCAGTATTTTATGTATGCTGCCGCCTTGGACACTGGCAAACATAATAGTGGGACAGCCCCTAAAATCCCTCCCTCTCCCAGAGATCCTCAAATGTTTTTCTAGTGTCCCTAGGTAAAGGACAACCTTTCTATACTGGGAGCTGGTTTCTGTCCAAATCTACAATCTATCTGAAGAGGAATCTCACCTTAACCTGGCTGCACCTATGCCACTGAGGCTGTTATCCTGCAGCTTCTGGATTGGTGCCTCCTTGCTGTATACCCTGTTAATTCATGTGGGAGGGTGAATTTTAATTGGTCCACTTTAGTGGTAAACGGTATACTATTCATGATTGTGGGCATGTAGGCATCACTTGCAATTTGTTTGTTAAAAAACACCAAATGTGAGGTTTTCCAATCTTTGCCTCCCTTCACAATGGAATATTACTTCTCTGGCTACATTCTCCATAATTGGAAGATCAATGTCTATCAGGAAGTGAGTGACTCTCTTATAATGGGAGTGGCATATGGCAACACATGGTTACAAAGGTGTGGAGACTTCTTCACTACCTTTTTCTTGAGAAAAGCTGTAGATAATTTAGCCTGCAGCATATCTCCAATATTGTCATATTAGTTTGAGGAGAATTGACCGTTCGTTCAATTATGGTTGCATTCATAATATTAGAAATTTGCTGTTTAGTCTTTCTTCATTCATTAATTTTGGGCTAATTCATGCAATAAGGAGTAAAAGTTGAATGAAACAAGGATTTGGCTGTTTGACAGTTGCAGCCACATTTTTGCTTTGTTTGTTTTAAATCAGCTCCTTATTGTTTGACTGGGGTAATGCCAGGAATAAATTAGGGATGCACCGAAATTTTGGCCGCCGAAACATATCGGCCGAAAAAGGCACTTTTGACAAAATGCAGAAAGTGTGATCTTTTAGCCGAAATTGCGGTGCATCCTTAGTTTCTCTCCTCCTAGCTGGGCGCTGCACTGTGTCCCCGCTGACACAGCCCAGCATCCAGCGGGGAGGAGAGAAAGTGTCTTCCCCTCAGCCTCCTCTGACTGATCAGGATGGCGAGCGATGTGGGGGTGGAGACAGCCATGCACTGTCACAGGAGCCCGAATCGGTAGTCAAAATAGACTAAGCTCTCCTCCCCACACAGCCACCTCAGGATGGAGAGCGGTACAAGCAGTCAGCGATCAGCTGATAGCTGACTGTAAATAACTGGACATAGTAACTCATACTATGTACCAGTTATGAATGAATAGGAAGTGATCTACATCACTTCCTGTTCATTCATAATTATGTACATAGTAACTCATACTATATCCACAAGTAACACTCTGTATAGCGGATTCCTGTTCATTTATGACAGGGGCTGCAGAAAAAGAGATTATGTCCTCCAATCGCTTTTCCTATTTTAAAAGGGAAATATCAGAGGTCTCCTGATATTTTATCGAAGCCCCCAGCAGTAAAGGTAAAATGTTTTAATGATTTATAAAAATTAATAAAATATAAAAACAGCCATGCACTGTCACAGGAGCCCGAATCGGTAGTCAAAATAGACTAAGCTCTCCTCCCCACACAGCCACCTCAGGATGGAGAGCGGTACAAGCAGTCAGCGATCAGCTGATAGCTGACTGTAAATAACTGGACATAGTAACTCATACTATGTACCAGTTATGAATGAATAGGAAGTGATCTACATCACTTCCTGTTCATTCATAATTATGTACATAGTAACTCATACTATATCCACAAGTAACACTCTGTATAGCGGATTCCTGTTCATTTATGACAGGGGCTGCAGAAAAAGAGATTATGTCCTCCAATCGCTTTTCCTATTTTAAAAGGGAAATATCAGAGGTCTCCTGATATTTTATCGAAGCCCCCAGCAGTAAAGTTAAAATGTTTTAATGATTTATAAAAATTAATAAAATATAAAAAAAATTAAAAAGTTTATAAAAGATAAAATATTTTAAAAAATTTAAAAAGGTTAGGGGAAAAAAATGTACTTTCGGTTTCGGCCTGACGGGGTTTTTTTTTTGTTTTAAAAATTTTCATTTCGGTGCACCTTTTTAGAATAAATATTAAACTATTATCTGGCTTCAGGTCCATTGCAAAGGAGCTTGCAGATTGGCTCATCAGCAATAATGTGGTGGAACATATTTTTGGACCAAACCTACACATTGAGGTTAGTGTATTGATTTATTACAGTTACATTTTTTTTTTTCATTCGTAGTTCAAATATTTTATATACAATCACTTTTGGGGATTTTTTTTTCTTTTTCCAGATCATCAAACAGTGCCAAGTTATCCTAAACTTTCTGGCAGCAGAAGGCCGGCTGAGCACTCAGCACATTGACTGTATCTGGGTAGCTGCACAGGTATGTTATATTACTTTTCCGAGTATTGGAAGATGTGTGTATATGTATATGTGTATATATAGATATCTATAGATATCTATAGATATCTATATATTTGCGGTTATAAATAATTGGAGTATCCGATCACCTGCCTGTCTGACAATGCTAAAACTTTTATCTTCCTTTGTTACAGTTGAAACATTGTAGTCGTTATATCCATGATCTGTTTCCCTCATTGATTAAAAACTTGGATCCTGTGCCTCTGAGACATCTCCTGAATTTGGTATCTGGACTTCATCCCAGTGCACATACAGAACAGGTAAGTGGAACCAGAAAACCGGTATTACTCTGGATTAGCTAAAAAGTTACCCAAGATTTCTGTTCTGTCTCATTGAAATCTTGGACTGAGCTGAGTTATACTCTGACTAAACTTGAGTAGGTCAACTTTAGCTTAATTTTAGAGGTGTGGAAACAATCTTTATACAATAGAAGGTCTAATGAGTCTTTAAAAGACATGTGAAAAAAAAAGCCTTAGGGCCCATTCACACTAGTCTGTCCATTAAAGGTTGCTCTTTAGCAGACAGGCTAGTGCCTTGTGGCAGCCCAGGGAGTGTGCGTTGTATTGCACACTGCTGGAGCTGTCACTGTTTACCCTATTTTTAGAACACTTTATTGCTAGTGTTGTATGTATATAGGCTGCGTTGGTGCAAACAGAGCATACAGAAGACTATTGTTTTCCATGTGTCCTGGTGGTGACCTTCATTGGTCTGGTCTGGCCTAAATCCTTGCCTGTTGACTCTAAAGGAGATGACAAAAATTAATATACAGTATATACATTAGATTAAAACAAACGTAAAAACATTTTAAGATGTTTCATTTTCATTTTTTTTAACATCGTAAATGTTAAATGAGTTGAGTAAATAAGATGCAGCATTGTTCACTTTTTAATCAACAATCCTATTTTCTTTTTTATTAGTTCTCTAGCACATGATTGGATATTAAATGTAAAGACAAGTTCACCCAGACTAGGACCTGTTGCATGCATTTTAGTACTGCAAATCATTTTCTCCATTTGTATTGTTCCTTCTGCATGTTAAAAATGCCAATGAAAGGGTTTAATTAGATAGTCTTAAGAATTGCTTCCTAGTATAACTAGTTGAAGTTTTTGGCATATATAGAACAGAAACCTCCATATGTTTGGGCAGTGCTTTTGTGTCCTTTGATCATGAGCCACTAGTATTCTGCTAAAAGGAACTTGTTTCTTTTTATAGACCTTGTATTTGGCTTCAATGTTGATTAAAGCTCTGTGGAACAATGCACTAGCAGCTAAAGCCCAGCTTTCCAAACAGAGCTCCTTTGCATCGTTACTGAATACTAATCTACCAATGGGCAACAAGAAAGGTAAGTCCTGCCACAATTTCTTCTTGAATTTAATAATTAAATACAATACTGACTGAAAGTTTGCAAATGGTTTTGTGTGATTGTATCATATTACTTACATTCTGATATAGGGTACCATATAATGCTGAGATATCTACTAATAAAATGATAAACCTGGGTGAATGTTTATAGGTTCGCCAGCAGCTAGCCCTCAGAGCAGCGACAACAGTGACACTCACCACAGTGGCGGAAGTGACATAGAGATGGATGAACAAATCTTGAACAGATCTAAGCATGTACAGCAGCGACTTTCAGATACAGAGGTAATATATTATTGAACATTTTTTTCCCCCCTCTTGCTTTTGAATATTTTTATATTTAAATGGACTCCTTAAGTTGTATTTGTGCAAATTGTCAGTTCTCCTTTAATAGAAAGAAAATTGTCAATTTTATGGTTTGTAGACCTAGTATCTATGTAAAGTTTGTGATAATATATGTATATGAAGGGCAGCTATATATGACCATTAATATGCAAGCTCTGCATCCTGCTTAGTAGTGCTGCACAGTGACGGTTTCGCTGCTCTTCTCTTCTTTACCATAAGTCTACAAGATCAGGTTGATCTAGTTGAAAATAATACACTCTGCAGACTTTACAAACATAAAACAGACCCACAATGCTCATGGTAGCTAGAGACCATGTGATCTAGGCTACCTTGGCTTTAGATCTCACGAGATATCAGAAGCTGAAGCTTGCTTTCTTTTGTTTTTGTTTACTTGGCCAGCATTTTATTTACACTTCAGGGCTAGTTCACACCAGCATCAGTGCTTTTCGGCACAATTGGTTGCTGGATCGCATACCGGTAGGCTTACTGCGTTTTGGGGCGCTAGGGGAAGTCAAGGGCACCGCAGCCACGCCCCCAACCACAGTGTGATCGTCCCCGCACCGGAATGCGTGGCACATCAATGCCTGCGTTGCGGTCGGGTGCACTCAGAAACAATAGTGTGTGCTACATTTTTTCTGATCACACCGTACCGTAAGGCAAGCATTGATGTGCCACGCGTTCCGGTGCGGGCATTCACACTGCGGTCGGGGTTGTGTGGCTGCGGTGCCATTGAATTCAATGCGCCGCCACGCCCCCTCCCGCCCCAGAACGCAGTGAGTGGGCTGGAATGCGATCCAGTGCGGTTCGGCACCGAATGGGGCCGGAACGTACTGGGGCTGCTGTAAACTAGCCCTTATATTGATGTGATTGGGGAATGCTATGATATGGCATGTGAAATATACTTTTTTAATAAAAGGCCCATTTTTGCTTTCAATTTCTATTACATTTTTCAAAACAACACATGCATTGTATCTGGTCATCAGATGCATTTTATCTGGTCATTTGTATAGGCACACATATATCAACAATTCCCCAGCCTCCACCCCAACCCATGAGGGCATGGGTTAAAGTATGTTGGGCATTGAAATGACTAGACGGAATGTGTCCTTATACTATATAACTCAATGCTTCAAATAAATAAAAAATACCAGTAAAAAGACAGATCTAGAAGAGGGAGAAAGATAGAGGAGATAGGAGGGAAGAGGTGGAGGGGAATAAAGGGCCTGGGACCTGGAAAGGAGGTAATTCCTGGTGCAACAGAAGGTGGTCGCCCCTCCACACTACACACTAAACTATAATTGAAAGAGACACCTTTTGTGGGGGGATTATGTTTAACCCAGGTGGCCCACCTTTTTTCAAAAGCTTGCAAAATAATTAGGGTCTTTTTGCATCCTAACGTTTACTAAACGAAAACGTGAGTGTAAGGGATTTCCAGGATTTAGTTATAGTTTGCTTAGTGGAAAGACCCATTTTTTAAGTTTTAAAAACCTATGTACTGAACCTTTTGGTGGATCAAAGGCTTTTTAAAATAACCATCGAAAAGTAGATTTCTCTATTTTATATTGGTTTAGCAGTTTTGGATCACTGGTGCTAACCACTTGATGATCCGTAGTAATGACTATAACATATGTTTTTTTTAGATTCAGCTTTTTGGCATATGACATAAATATGCTTATCTTGGTTTGGTGACTGCTCTTTTTGGCACACTCACTCACAGGCCTCCTGTCACCTTTTTGTATGTGTTATTCAGCTCAGTCCACTAGTAGCGAGTCCACTGATGATCTCAGCTCAGGCTGAAACTGACACCGCTGTGTTCCGGTGTTAGACGCAGAAATAGTTTGATGGGAAACTAGAATGGTTTGGTTTGGGGGGCCAGTTTTATTTTTTTTTATACATTTTTAAAACTACTGTTTTTCACAAATTAACGTTTAATACTCCCATGACACTGATATCACAGGGCATTCTGAGGGTTCTAAAGCGAGAGCAGAAAAAGCTATTCGCTTTTAAACTGTCTAAAGGTGCCCATACACTGTACGATTCTCGTACGAGAATCGCGGGAAATCCCGCGATCGTACAGTGTATGGAAGGCGTGCGACCGTTTCTACTGTACGGTCGCACGTCTTCCATCGAACAAGCAGGCTTGAAAACCCGCAGAGAATCGTATGATTCTCGGCGGGTTAGTGGCCTGCTTGTTCGACA